CACTTGTCAAAGCAACGAGAGAGACGGAGATAGAAATACTTATTTCTTCTGTTATAATCGCACGCGTAGCGTGTAATGATGACGATGAGGTTAGCTTTTCGTGGGCATTGTAACACTCCCTCGTTGAGACCAGTGTCAGGATCTCTCGTGCGTAACATCTTTTTTTGCGTCGCTCAAGACCTTTCTAAGTAAACTCGGTGGGAAAAGCCAATCCTAGGAAAAAAGAGTGCAACCCCACGAGCTCCCCCTCGAGTGATCAGGAGGATGAAGGACCAGCATTGTCCACGACGCATTTCAATGTTAAGGACATGTTTTCTGAACAAAGGGGTGGGCAATGATTTTGTGAAGAGATCCTCAGAATTCTCGGATGGTGGGACATATCTTACTTCAATGTCTTAATTCGTAAAGAGGTATTGGGTTTATGAAAAGAATCTCGGAGGGAGATGTTTGGTTCTATCCCTTTTGCTATGCGGCGTGGGTCTTAGCAACCCATGCCCCCTTGGAAGCGAGAGAGAGATTGGGATCTAGGGTTAGAAAATGAAATCGATGTGTCTAAAATAGCGAGTCAAATAAACTTTGCTAATTAATTGTAAATTCAACAAAAACTTTATTATTTAAATGTCTTCATCGTAGTCCAAGATTAAATCGTTCCAAATTTGAAAGTTCCTGATTTTTTTTTGACATTTTTCCCGAAAACTAACCTCAAGATCCGGATTCGACCCGTCAGATTATCCGATTTACCCGGTCTTGTTCGGTTATTTGGGCTATAGCGTACACAGTTCACTGATTGATTCACGAGTTTCTTCTTCTTCCTCAGAACCTCAGATCTTTTTCTTAGAAGTCTCTCCCATGAAATCCGAGAAGATTCAAATGTAAATCCACCTTCCGATTCGTAGAATTTGCTTACCGGAGACTTCAGATCGAGCTACTGCAATTTGCGGATCGTGTCTTTTCAATTCACGGTTTATTTTTCTCGGGAGAAGAAGAATGGACACTTTCACGGCGGAGGATCTATCGACGATCGGCGGAATAGCGACGGTATCGCTCCTTCACTCGTTTATTCCAACGCATTGGTTACCTTTCTCCATCGTCGGACGTGCGCAGAAATGGACGCTTTCGAGAACCCTCTTCGTCAGTATGGTTTCAATTTTTAAGTTCTGCATTTTCTGAAATTGATGGCGCGTTTGATGTTTATCCATTGTTCTGCATTTCGATGAGTCAATAATCGAAGGCATAGTGTGTGTGCATTGTTTGATTGAACTAGAACTAGATAATTGGGAAATTATGAATGATTTAAGAACTTATTGTTGTTGTGATAAAAAATTATCGTCAACGTTGGTGTTGCATTTGGTGTCTTATGGCATATAGATAATGTGAGTCTCACATTGAAGTTAGAGTAGCCTAAGAAGACTTGGGATTAGTCTTAGTCTTTTAAAAAGAATCACTGATCTTAGATAAATTCTCAATGTATGACAGAGATAATACTGTCACACAAGTATATATAGAACGTTACATGATATAAACTGGAGATAAATTTCAACTCTTTGGGTTTTATAAAGAAAGAAAGTTGATGTCTGATCACGCACGCCTAAGCCACATAGTTTATTGTCTGAGCGAGAATGTCACTTGTTTAGGGGAACATGTTGATGTTTATAGCTTCCCTTGTTGCTTTAAAAGGGCTCGAAAGAACTGATTTAAATTTTTAAACCATAGATTAAGTCTGGGTGACCGGTTTTGTTTTGATCATATTCTTCTTTGGTGAAAAAGTGTCTTAAGCCAACTGATTTGTATTGATGCGCTACCTAAGCTCAAATACATGATTCAGTGTTTCTGATGTTGTTTGGTTAAGTATTGTTGCACATTCTTTTCTGATTTTTCTAGTGTCACTAATTTTCAGCTGCATTTGGAGCAGTCCTGCATGTCATATCCACTTCCCTTCTTGGTATAACAGCGATCACAATGGCGAATACCATCGCCGGTGAAGAGACTGTTCACAAACTTGCTTCCCTTTTGCTTGTATTTCTCGGTGGAAGCTATGTCTTGCTGTTTTTGGCTGGTAAAGGTAGTCACACACATTCTCATAACCAACCCATGGAGAAAATGGCTGTTGCTGGGCTTGTCCTTGTTCCTGCATTATCTCCTTGTGCAACAACTCTCCCGGTTTTCCTTGCTGTTGGAAATTCAAAGTCCATGATGGTTCTCGCCATCATAGTTCTGCTGTTCAGGTGAGACGAATGTTTCTGTCACATATTTTTACGCGTCAATAAACACCTTTCTATATAGTCAATCCTAGGACAGTCGGATATGATTTTACAAGGGAAAGAACATGTCTGAAATGATTGGTATTCTTTGGGCAGCACCATATTGGTGATGACGTCGCTGGTGGCTCTATCGTTCTATGGTGCAAGCCAGCTCAAGTTTCACTGGGTGGAGCGATACGATAAACTACTGGTTGGTTCGGTCCTGTGTCTGGTAGGTATCTTAACCCTTCTCTTCCATGATCATGACCATGGCGGTCATGAAGCACATCAACTCCACAGGAAAATCATTACTCTTTAGAGACCGTTTCGAGTTTCTGTTTTGCCTGTCTGTCATGTCTGTTTGTTGTAGAGCGGCTTAAGGTCTATGAATCTTTCTGCTTCGCGTTGTATGTTTATAATCAGTTGTAACGCTCTCTGTTGCACGTGAAGAAACATATGGAAGCATTAAATTCCTTTAATAGAACAACTCTTTGGAGGTCTATTGTAGCTATTACATGATTTTGTAGTTGTTCCGTTGAAACTGTGTGTATAAAATCTGATTAAGCTGGGTTTGATTCTTGTAGTTGAAAATAGTTATCCTGGCATATTTTAGATCTTAAGCTCCAAATGGTCGGCTTTGCCTACAAATATGGTTGAGACCAAACCAGAAGCTAATCTAACAGATAATTTTGTTAAGGAACCTTCTCATTCACTATAAAGAAATTACTGCTTGCATTTTTTCGACGTAATAAATTATTCAATAATGTGTACAGTAAGTATTGAAGAGGGAAAAACACATGTGGAATATAAAAACTGGGATAAAAAGAACAACTAACTAATCAAGAGGAACCAACGGCTTGGCTTTAAGGAAGTTGTCAAAAGGAGTAGAGGCAGGAGGATTGAAGAAAGGAGGATGGTTTTGATACTCTGTGACGCACATATTTGAAGCCGCCGGTGCACCCAAACCCATCATCTCCCACGAGCTCCGCTGCTCCACAAACGGATTCCCACCACTACAAGGCAAAGCAGTAGCTTCCTTGGTTTGGCTGCTGAATTTGTTGCTTTTTGCAGACATGAAAGACATCTTCTCTTGCTTTCCCATGAGAAGAGCCTCACAATGTCCTGCCATTTCTGTGTATGTCATGTCTGGTGGATCAGACACTGAGTATCTCCCTAATTGTGCTGTTGTCTGAGACACCTGCACCCATTTTCATCTTCTGTCAGTCTACGCATTTGCGTTTGTATTTAGAACCAAAACGAAAAAGAACTCACTGCATTTAGAAGTTCATCGATGCTCAGAAGAAATGCGGTTTTGGCATTAGGTTGTGTGTCAAGACCAAGATGTTCTTCTGGAGGACTCGGCACTGCATCATTCTCCGGTATAAGCAATTGAGTTTCAGCCTGCAAAAGTAAATGGAAACAGATTGATGTTAGAATAATAAATAACTTCAAATTTGAGAAATCGAGCGCAAAATGTTGATACATTTTCTCGAGGTTTGTTGTTTTTTTCTTCAGAACGGTAAACTTGAACTGGAGATTCTGTCAACTGCGTTCCAACAGGACAGCCATCGATAGGTATAAAATCTGAAACTAGCTGCTCCTTTATAGCCGTTGATTCTTGCTGCAAGTTAAAACCATTAACACAGGTAAGTAGTTAAACACTATTATAAAGAGTGATCAACATTTTGATAGTATTACATCTGATAGTTTTCCCAGAAACTTCATTATCATGGAAGCGTAATGCTCTCGAGGTTGATTTTGTGTAGTTTCTTCTATCACAAAAAGTGACTGTAAGGCGTCATCATCGTCTTCTTTTGATCCATAATTCTTTGCTGGTTGCTCTGCTTGTCCATAGAAAACAGCATCTAGCTTGCAATCTTCCACCAATTGAAGAAACGGGTCTACCTGATATGCAACATTTATATATTATTATCAAAGCTGTATATACAATAGACTAGAGATAGAGCAAGAACATTAGCAAAACTATTGACTACCGTTTTTTCCTGTAGTGAGGTTTTTGCGCTATTAACAAGAGGAGGGATGTTGAAGGCTTTTGCTGAGAAAATAATCATGGATGTAGCCAGAGTAAAGAGGGATCTACGCCGTGATGGCTGCAACGGTCCTATAATTGGCAACAAAAATTAATCTGTGAAAAAAGAAGAAGATAGTTTGCCTATAACACAGTGTGCATCTACTAAAATCTTAATCAAGAGATAGACCAAGAATATACCTCCAAGAGAGAGATTCCGCAAAGAAAATGCTAGCTGAAAGCTCCAGACCAAGACTTCATTGCTAGAGTGCTACATATATGAAAAGAGGTAACTTCTGTTGTAAAACATGAATTAATGCAGTGTAATTATGTAGTTTCATAAGGGAACCTTTTTTACCACTGTACCTTAGTCCGGCCAAATAGAAGTACTAAGCTAAATGTATTAGCAATGGCTTCATAATTTTGTGGCATGTTGTGAGGAGATAAAGACTGCACCCAAATCGATGAAAGCAAAAGGCAAATTTGGTGGCTGCTTAATCTTAAAGGTATCACCTGAAAGTTTTCAGTTAAAAAGGCATTGAAATCAAATCATAAAAAAATGATAAGTTGATGAATCACAAAATGTAAAACATACTGGTTTCTCTGGTGAACTTCCAGAAGAATTCTGATCTGACACCATCGAAGACGGGTTCCTTTTCACACTCTGAGATCGGCTGTAACTTGACTTTAACCGGCTCAGTACTGAGCTAGTATTGTTCTTTGGCTCTTCGTCGTCAAAACTTTCACCTCTTGTGAATATTGAAGTTGACCTGCTAAGTGTTGAAACTCTCTCAATCTTCGCAGTATCATCAACAGAATTATCTGACTCCAACTTCAGTTTTCTAAAGAGTGCAGCTGAAGAAGAAAACACAGACACAGTTCTTGACAATGTCCTCTGCATATCAGCAGGTCTTCTAGAGTTGGGAACTGAACTTGGAGAAACAGAAGATGGGACCAGAACAACAGAAAATATACGGTGAGCCCCCATCCTCGATTCATGGTCAGCACAGACCATAGCTTGAAGCAGTTGATGGAAAAGTGCATCTGGAAAAGCCTGTGAAGGAATTTCATGTTATCTTCTTAATCAATCCATAGCAGTTTTGGTTACATGTTGTGGGGAAAAAAGAGATAGACACTTCAAGATTTAAGCAACTTGCCTTGTTTTCATATGATAAATTTGGTATAGCTGCTATAATTTGTGCTGTGCGGAAAACAGCGGCGATTAAGGTTCTTGCCATGACTGTAATATTTGACATGCTTTCCAACATGACAGCCATTATGTCAAGAATAGGACCTGCATCTCCTACCTACATTTCGAGATACAATCAGTGAGTTATTCATTTTTGTACACATTAAAATCGTATAGCTTTTAGAGCTTATTGGGATTACCTTTTGGGATAATTGCACGAGGCATTGTTCAACAGCAGCTTCGAATTTCAGGTTATACTGAATCATCTCATTCCCTAGATTCGAATCATCTAATGAACAATGGATGCTCTTCCTTAGATGCCTAATCATATCACTCAGGGCACCAATGATTGCCACAGATGGAAGAACTTTAGTCTGTTGAGCAAGTGCAGTAGCAACATACACTATATCAAGTTGCATTCTAGGCTTCTTTAAAACATTCTTGTGATCAAGATGCTTGATCAGGATGGACAACAGGAAATGTGTGTTTTGCCCTGTCGTCAAGTACTCACACTATTAGTAAGTTATTACTAACAAGCTGACCAGAAAACCAATAAACCAAATGGAGACAATACAAACCAGATCTTTCTATCAGCAACTGAACGTCCTGAAGCACATATAAAGCAAGACCGTTCTCTGTGGACCAAACTTCATTAAAATCAAAATAACGAAAGAGTGACTCGAGTACACGTCGCACAGTTGTTGCTTCTTTTGCTAACTTTGCCAGATTATGCAGACAAACCCTCGACCAAAACTTGGGGTTTTTAGCATCCTCCCTGTTAATTACCCTCTCTTATCAGAAAATACATTCTAAAAACAACAAGAAGCATGCCAAAGTAAAGCTGGAGTAGAAGGATTTACACAGATACAATTGCCTTGCCTCTGTCATCCACGATTCTTGTCCAAGAAGCAATTCTTGTTTCAGCTTCCGCAGGAGATAGTTCTTTATCAATAGAAGCAATCTTGTTGTCTTCATTGACTGCTGAAGTGGAGGGTTGACTAAGGCCTCCATAATTTTCTAAGACAACAGAGACTACCTGAAAAGAAGAGAAACAACGGAACAGAGGATAAAGTATTCAACAATCCAAGCAAATAAATTACAACTTATGATTTGAGTTAAAAAAAAAAAGTAAAGTCATTGTAGATTTCGTATACAAGCAAACTTACATTGTCAAATTCAACTGATATATGTGAAAATTCTCCCATAAACCAAACCTGTGGAAAATCGACGTGATTGTATCAATATTTTTCTTACAAGTCTTAAGACATGTAATATTCAATGCTAAAACAGCTGCAATGGAATAAACAAACAGAAAAATATGACTACCATGGAGGAGAGGGCCTGGAGGCCAGCAGCACACAAATTTGTTGTCCTATCTTCTTCTCCCAATTCATGAGCTAAAGGACAGATTTTTGGGATCAATCCATCTAAGTTAAACATGTAGGTGCCCTCTGCCTGGAAAAATCAGACACAGACATTAATTATCACAGAAAAGATAGGAAATATATGGAGATGAGTAAAATTGACAAGAGAGTTTTGCACCTGATTGGTAACAAAATCATAGAGAGCTTCACAACCTAAGATGCGCATCTCATCATACCTATTTTGATCTAGAAGAATATGAATGAGGCCAAGATAGCTACTAGCAAACAACGACCTGGAAGACACAATTCTTTAGGGAAAGCTAAAAAAATTATCTTTAAGCAGAGTACAATGTTGATTTTTGTAAAAACATAAAACATACATTTGTTCATTACATGAAACCAAGAGCTTCTTGTAGATAGACATAACAATCTTTACAGAGTGAAATTGCTCCATTCTCAATTCCTTGTAACACCTTTGTTCGAGATAGGTTGTGATCTGAAAACAGTATTGTGGAAATAATGATCATTGCTTTTAAAATTGTTGTAGAGAGATCAAAACTAAATCCCAATATCAAAGAATAATAACTTGATGTGGAAATTCACCTTAGGGATACGAAGAGGGTTTTTCGCAGCATATTCGCATAATTTACCGATTTTTCTATCATTAGGTTGCTCATCCTGCAGAGGAGTGTCAATAATCAGAACACTTATGTGCATAGTGGATTAAAAAAAAAGGTGTAAAAAACTGATTCTTCTCCAAAACTCGATTCTCTACAAAGTGTTATTACATTTATATAGGACTAAAGTAATAATGTGTTGTGTAATTTGGAGCTCCATCGTTATGGCTATGTGCAACAATTACACTAATCTCAATCGTAATCGAAAATATTCCAACAGTTTCAAGGGGAATGTGAAATGGTAGATTGAGGGAAAGAGAAGGCAAAATAAAACCTGGGATCGAGGGAAGATATCAGCGAGAAGATGTTTATATCTCTTGACGGGATGTCTCGATCTGGCTCGCAAAGCCGGACAAAAGCAACACAAGCTTTCGCAGACAGGGAACACGGTTCTTGATACGACCCCCATCGATCTTTCTCTCTCTCTCTCTCTCTCTCTCTCTCTCTCTCTCTTACGCCAAGATTCGAACAAGCTAGGAAACGAGAGATTTACAGACACAACATGAAATCAATGTATGGATCAAACATAAGCGAGGGAGTGGGATTGTTGGGATAACGAAGGATCAAAAGAGAGATCCATCTGGAAAATGTGAAAGAGAATTTGAGGAAGAAGAGAAGAGAATCGACGAGCTGTTTTGTTTTGCAAAAAAAAGGAGATGATTGCGGAACTTTCTCATATGAACCAAATTTTGAAAGTTTTTTTTTTTTTTTTGGCCCTTCCATTTACTATTTTGTGTTTTTGGCCATAATAATGGATTAAACAGAGAAAAGAATATTATTGTAATTAAAAATAATAAATTAATAGACGTTTTTGTTAGTGAGACGCCTGAACTTGTCATGACATTACCAAATTCAATTCATGCATAAGAATGTTGAATAATGGGAGGGAACGTGAATAGAGGAACTATTTTTGGGTAAATACAATCACATCCTCTCATTCTCAAACTCTTAAACCAAATTTTAAAGCTTTCTTCCTCTCCAAGAAACAAGTACTCTAATGACCGTCCGCAACAACGTCGTCTATAGAGAAACAGACTTCAATACCACACACTTCAGTGGATTTTTTTTTGGATAGAATCGTGAGATCATGTGTATAGAACCACATCAATAGCATTTCATACTTACAACAGCTTGATTATGAACAGATAATCATAGTTCATAGAGACGAAGAGCAATAAATTTCCAAACATGTCTTTGCTTGTTGTGTTGTAAATGCAAAGAGGATCACATATTCACCCTTAAGGCCTTAAATAACAACAACATATAAATAAAAAAAGCAAAAAAAAAAAAAAAGCTTGTGGGCTTATTAGGCCCATAGGTTTTAAGGGCCAACTTTCAGAGCTGCGGGTCTACATTATTCGGCCCGAACCGGTAAAACCTGCAGGCTTCTAGAGAAACCCATACGACGAACCCGGTCAGAAGCGTTCATTGTTAATCACCGGTTCTTAAATTTTCAGGCGAACAGTTTGGACAAGTCGGTGTCGTTTAGAAAAGACAATTCCTACCCTTTTTGTCGTCATTTGTTTGCCTTTAGTATTTTTTAAAGGAAGAGTGGAGTTGCTATTATTCCGACATTTAAGTTGTTATGTGTTTGTCGGATCGGATTCCATCTTAAGAATCTTATCTTTTTCCCCCCGAATATCATTGACTTTTTCTTAAATCTTAATTTGTTATGTTTGCACTTAAACTCTCTTATTTTTTTTTCGTTAGTGCACACAACTCGTATTCCATCAATCAATGATAAAATAATCCTTACAAATTAAACAAAAAGTGAAAATATCACATTCACATTATTCATAATAATAATCTTCTACTATATCTCACAAGAATAATGTGTGCACAAAAGATGACTGTTTGTTTCCGCGTGAAGTGAACTAGTAAGAGTCACCAATTTTGACCAACTCAAGACAACCTCTTAACTTCTTTGACCAACAATTTTAAAACCAAGAAATAAGTCACAAACGAAGACTTGACTTGTTTATTTTCTCTTAAAATCAAAGTTTCAACTGTTTCAGAGTTTAATTTTCAATGTGTCTATACTCTATATACAATTCATTTTAAATCTAAAGCAAATTCCTCATTTTCTATTCCTTAGTTCTGTATACATTCTTTGTAATGGAAAAATAACAACAGGTTGATTAAAAAAATTAAAGAAATTGAGAAAAAGACAGGAATTTTATTTAAAAAATTAATGTAAAAAAGTAACTAAACCAAAAAAAAGTATAGTATTTCCGTTTGTCATTTCCCACACCAATCGCATCGTAATCGATATCTTCCAACTTCAACAAGGAGAAAAAAGGGGAACGAACGAAACCCTAATTTTGCTTTCTCATCTTGTTCACTTTACTCAAATTCCTTATAGATTTCCCTCTCTTCAACCTCCGATAGCTCACATGGCGTCTCGAAACTATCGGTGCGAGCTTTTCGCAGCTTCACTAACCCTAACTTTAGCTTTGATTCACCTGGTCGAAGCAAACTCCGAAGGAGACGCTCTTTACGCTCTTCGCCGGAGTTTAACGGATCCGGACCATGTTCTCCAAAGCTGGGATCCAACTCTTGTTAATCCTTGTACCTGGTTCCATGTCACCTGTAACCAAGACAACCGCGTCACCCGTGTGTAAGATCCTCTTCTCTCTTAGCTCTTAGCTCTTGTTTTCGAGAAGGTGATTCGCCTAGAATCTATGGAGAATTCTATTGATATTTTTGCTCTATTTTTAGGATTTCTAGATAGTATCATTTGAAGTTTCTGTCGATTTATGTCCGAGCTTAAACATGACGGTATTAGAGTCATATGCAGACCCTTTTGTTCCGAAGCTGTTATTTTATATTTGGTCGTTGTGGAAGATGTTAGATAAACTTGACGATAATTGTAACTTCTTCTCAGAGAGCAAACAAGATAACTTATGGGCATCCCCGTAAAGCATAATTGTTAGAAATAATAGGAATTCATGATTGCTTTGATTATTCGTAGTAGGCGCCTCGCTACGTCTTTGCTAGATGTTATTTAGTCAAATGGGGATTTTGTTGATGTTTGTGATGATTTTCTAGCTTTCCTTTGCCCTTGGAGATACTTCTTTATCAGATTTGGGGTAACTTTAATTTGGTTTCTTTAAGGTTCATGAGACTATTTATGATATGGTCCTTTTCGCAGCTTCAAATGCAGAGTACAACAATTAAAGAAAATATCACTTTCTTGTTCAACTTTCCAGTATTAAAAGGGGAAATCTAAAGCTCCCATGTTTTTGCACAGTGTAGACTTTTCTAGTCATTGGATTCCTTGAAAGAATCTCTAATAGTTATTTCATCTATTAAGCAGTTCAATTTTACTTGTACCTCATGATTTTCTCAATGCTTTGATACTCATCTCGATTACTTTTTGGTCCCTACTTTGTGAGTTCTTACGCTTTTTGAAGATTTTTGGATTCTTTGTACTTGATTACATCTGATAACTGTTTGATGAATCAAGAGAACAGCTAATTGAGTATCTAAAACTAATGCTTATCTCTTGTTCACTTGTGCTTTATTGTCTTCTTATTCTGTGATATACATATTGATATTTTGCTCTCAAATTGTATCTCTGATTCTTCGTATTTTGGCAGGGATTTGGGTAACTCAAACCTCTCTGGACATCTTGCGCCTGAACTTGGGAAGCTTGAACATTTACAGTATCTGTATGCCATCACTCTTTGGACTTTTGTTTTTCTGAAATTTTTACTTTTCCCAATGCCATTGTCAGCTTTAATGTAAATAACATTGTATACCATATAAGTACCTAAACTGTTTGCTATGAGATTGATTATGTTATAGACAATGTAGATTAACTCTTTACTTGTCCTATGATTGATGCAGAGAGCTCTACAAAAACAACATCCAAGGAACTATACCTTCCGAACTTGGAAATCTGAAGAATCTCATCAGCTTGGATCTGTACAACAACAATCTTACGGGGATAGTTCCCACTTCTTTGGGAAAATTGAAGTCTCTGGTCTTTTTGTAAGTTTCTCTCAAACTCTGACATCGACACACCGAACAATAATACTTAAGACTTCTCTTAAAAACTGCAAAATGGTTTATCAAATGTTGAGTAAGAGAACAAGAGTGTTTATGTGGGTTGTTCTCCAAAACCTGATTATTTTTGTGATGCCTCTTCATTCTCTTGTCTCTCTAAGAAACTGTTTAATGTGGCAGACGGCTTAATGACAACCGATTGACCGGTCCAATCCCTAGAGCACTCACGGCAATCTCAAGCCTTAAAGTTGTGTAAGTTCAGCTTGATCATTGTTTGTTTGTTAACGCTCTGCTGCATTTCTCTTAGTTACCAGAACCCCTTTCTATCCAACCTATTGACTTCATCCTCTTACTTGAAAATACGTATTTTCTTTGTCTTTCTTTTCTCAGTGATGTCTCAAGCAATGATTTGTGTGGAACAATCCCAACAAACGGGCCTTTTGCTCACATTCCTTTACAGAAGTAAGTTTCTTCTTTCACTTAGCCAACAAGTTTCTGGATAATATATCCCCCTGCATTTGCATTTGTTGTCACCCAAATTACAAACTGCTTTGATAAGTGTGAAGTCGAGTGTCGTCTTTGTTACAGATATCAATTGATATCGTATGTTTTCATATAAAGTATAGACTGATAAAGTTGCATATGAGCATTTGTTTCTAATAACGCAAAACATTTGTGCAGCTTTGAGAACAACCCGCGATTGGAAGGACCGGAATTACTCGGTCTTGCAAGCTACGACACTAACTGCACCTGAAACAACTGGCAAAACCTGAAAAAGAAGAATTGGGGGGTGACCTCGTAAGAACACTTCACCACTTTTATCATATATCACATCTATTATGTAATAAGTATATATATGTAGTACCCAAAAAAATGAAGAATCGAATCAGCAATATCATCTGGTCTCAATTGAGACAGACCTCCCAAAGACTGAGTGGCCTGTGTATGTAAAATTTCTAAATGCGACTTTCGCGTACTGTAATGTTCGTTGTGGGATTCTAAGTAACATTTGTATTGGTATGGTATCAAGTTGTTTGCCTTGTCTGCATTTAAAACACTTGTGTTAGATCTGTTATATAAAGCCAAAGATGGGATTGGGTGATTCCGTTATCATATCTTATCTTACTGCTAGTCATCATCAACCCATAGTCCTTTATCAGTCACACGTGAGTTCGGCCAAATTGCAAAAATAAGAAAGAAAACACGTGTTGTGTTTCCTATCTTCCGATGTTACTGTTTATAACCACAATAGGAGTTTGTGGCTTATTGATTGTGTTACTCACCATGAAATTTTGGATTAGTTTCAACTAAGTCCATATAATTTTGGGACCAATGACATGTGTTGTTATTATCAATAACACGTATTATGTATAAACAAAATTGGCAGTAATATATTGATTTGAACATGATTGTGAAGTATCAATGATATTAACACAAATCAATATGTACATCAGTGACACTTGTCATTGTCAGTTTCTCTTTTTTTTTTTTTTTTTGTCAATCAAACACCAGAAGCAATTTCATAGCAATAATAACAGCACTACGGCAGTGAGAGCTACATTATTTTGTGCATGGTTGAAATTTAGAAACCCACGTGAATGTACGCTCTCGTATTTATACGTACATAATTGATCGTATGGTTTTCGAAATTTCGTATTCAATAATTACTCCCGTGTCCATCATAAGAAACTGCCAAAACAAATGGCCCCATCGATCTTGTCGTCTTTTCTTTTTCGTTTGTAATGTTTAACTTCAACCACTAGTATCCACACAAAAACAAAACTGACTCTTAGACCAACAAAAACAAAGTAAATAAGAACCCACTGTTGTTTTTAAGGTTAATTTTTGAAAGAGGAAAAAAAAAAAAAAAAAAAAGGGTTAATTTTTGAAATGTTTTAATCGTCGATTGCCTTTCTACATATCTGTACAAAGCCTCTTTCATACACATACATAAGCTAGTTTATAATTCACAAGCCACGCAAGAGAAAGTAAAGTGAAAGATTCCATGGCGTCAGGTTATTAAATTGCTATAAATTTCTTCCTTTATATACAAATATAAGTATGTAATTTGACAAGAAGCATCAACAAAGAAACAAAAATGTGACCATGAGCTTATTCGATACAACTATATGTTTGATTGTGTTACGAATTAGAACCATTAGTTTTTCTTCAACCAAAAAACTAATGGTTAACCATTGTTCTGCGGATTTTCAGTTAAAACTTGTTATTTTAGTTATTTTTTGTGATTAATTTTGGGGTGTTTCTAAGGCAGAACCACTCTAGTAGTGTAATACTATATATACAGTCTGTATAATTCATTTTTTAAAAAGGATTACTGTTTTGTGATCATGGAACAGAAAGGGACTCCATGGGCAGATGGGGCAGCGGGTGTGACACAATGTCCTATTAATCCTGGCGAGACTTTCACTTACAAGTTCATTGTCGATAAGGTTTTAACTTTTTCTGTTTTGTTATTTTGTTAATGAATATGATCAAGAAATGATGAATCAAAAACATTATTCGGTTGGGGGTATTAAGGTGAGCTCTTCCATTGCTCTGATACCATGTAAATAAAGATCAAACTTAGAGTAAAATAATTTTGAAGTTCATAGAGAGCGGCTTAAAGCTTCATACTTTGATACCTCATTAGGTCATGAATACAAAAGGGATATTTATACACTGACAAGAACAATCTAGAGACTAGACAGGTGGCAGTGACACCTCATTGCTCAATGGATAGGAGCGCATCAAAACTGTTCTTAGTCAGAAATGGTGACCAGGTTACTGAATCCAGCAATCCTGAGTTTATGAAATGGGTGAAAACGGATCAGCTCATCATGGCTTGGTTGTTTGGTTCATTGTCTGAAGAAGCTTTGAAGAGTATCTATGGTCTTCGTTCTTCTCAAGAGGTATGGCTCTACCTTGCTAAAAAGTACAATAGGGTTTCATCCTCTCGAAAGCTCGATTTACAAAGAAAGATTCAAACCACTGTTAAAGGATCAAGTACTCTAGCAAAGTATCTGGCTGAAATAAAGACCTTGTGTGATCAGTTAGATTCTATAGGCTCTCCTATCTCTGAGCAAGAAAAGATTTTTGGCGTATTACGAGGTTTAGGACGGGAATATGAGTCTATTACTACAGTCATTGAAGATTCTATGGATAAATCTTACCCTGGTCTCACTTTTGATGATGTTGTCTATAAGTTGACATGTTTTGATGATAAGCTACAAGGGTATGAGGTCTCCACTGAGGTTACTCCTCACCAGGCGTTTTATACAGACCGTGGTGGTTACTATGGCCGTGGTCGTGGACAAAACAGAGGTGGAAACAGTAACAGAGGCAGAGGTTCCGGTTCTTATTCAACTCAAGGCCGTGGATTTCCACAACAATTTGGTCAAGGTAGTGGAGGCAGACAACCCTACTCAGATAATGGTCAGAAACCTACCTGTCAGATCTGTGGGAAGTATGGTCATCCTGCATATAGGTGCTACAATCGGTTTGATAAGTCATACCAGGTTGATGAAACAATGCAGGCTTTGGCAGTGATGAGAATGTCAGATAACAACGATTACTCTGGCAAAGAATGGCATCCATGGCATCCAGACACTGCTGCAACTCATCATGTGACTAATTCAGTTCAGAATCTGCAATCCTCTCACTCATATGATGGCTCAGATGCAGTTATGGTGGGAAATGGTGAGTTTCTTCCTATTACGCATATAGGTTCTGCAAACATTCCTACAGTGACAGGTAATCTCCCACTTAAGGATGTATTAGTTTGTCCGGAAATTGCAAAATGTTTACTCTCAGTCTCCAAATTAACTGATGATTATCCATGTGCATTTATCTTTGATTCTCGTGCTGTCTCTGTTATCGACAAGCAGACAAACCAGCTGCTCACTCAGGGAACAAAGAGTAAAGGACTGTATCAGTTGGAAAACCCCAATTTCCAAGCTTTCTACTCCTCAAGACAGCAAAGCACAAGTGGTGATATATGGCACAGGAGGTTGGGACATCCAAATCAGCAAGTCCTTCAACATTTATCTTCTGTTCAAGCTATTTCATTCAATAAAAATACATTGTCTATGTGTGAACCATGTCAGTTAGGGAAGAGTTGCAAACTTCCGTTTTCTAGTTCAGATTTTCAGTCTTCTAAGCCTCTTGAGAGGATACATTGTGATGTCTGGGGACCTGCTCCTGTTATGTCTGTTCAGGGATTCAGGTTTTATGTGATATTCATTGATAATTTCTCAAGATTTTGCTGGTTCTATCCTCTCAAACAAAAGTCTGAGGTGTTTACAATTTTCAAAAACTTCCAACAGTTGGTAGAGAATCAATTAAATCAGAAAATCAAGATTTTTCAGAGTGATGGAGGTGGTGAATTTGTGAATAAGCAGTTTCAAACTCACTTTGCAGAAAATGGGATCAAACACTTTATCTCTTGTCCTCACACCCCACAGCAGAATGGATTAGCAGAGAGGAAGCACAAGCACATTGTTGAACTCGGTATGTCAATGTTATTTCAAAGCCGTTTACCACAAAGTCTATGGGTTGAAGCTTTGTTTACTGCCAATTTTCTTGCTAATCTTCTTCCTACTTCGACTAATGAGAAGATGATCAGCCCATTTGAAAAACTTTATGGTCAAGCTCCATGTTATACGGCTCTAAGGGTGTTTGGGTGTGCCTGTTTTCCTTATTTGAGGCCATATGCAGAAAATAAATTTGATCCAAAGTCTCTTCTATGTGTTTTTCTTGGCTATAATGAAAAGTATAAGGGCTATCGTTGTCTTCATCCTCCTACTGGACGTGTTTACATCTCACGTCATGTCTTATTTGATGAGAAAAGATTCCCTTATCAAGACAACTACAAAGACCTGCTTCCACCTGCAAGAACTCCTCTTCTCTCAGCATGGATGTTAGGTACTCAGTCTCTGGGTTCTGTTTCAGAGTCAGCTAATAATTATGTCACAGAGGAAGAATCATCTCCAGTCATAATCCCTGCTGCTCCTGGTGTAGTTCAAACTGAAGTCCCAACTCCTATTGCTTCTGCACCAGCTCACAATGCAACTGTCTTGACTAATTCACCAACACAGTTACCAGTAAACAACAGTGCGGCTACAACATCTTCAGGAACTCATACAGAGACAAAATCTCCATCTGAGAATGCTACAACATCGGGCTTATTCACTCAAGATGACTTCTCTCCGTTGAATTCTCAGGTTCAAGGCCCAAATGATCACGAAATGATAACAAGAGGAAAGTCGGGAATCCGTAAGCCTAATCCAAGATATGCTCTCATTACAATCAAAGGTATTCCTGAAGAACCAAAGTCAGTAGCAGCAGCTCTTACACACTCAGGATGGACTGCTGCTATGGAAGAAGAAATAACCACTTGTCATGAGACAGATACATGGGATTTAGAGCCTCTCCCGCCAAATGTACATCTCATAGGATGCAGATGGATTTTTAAAACGAAGTTAAATGCAGACGGGACACTTGATAAACTAAGAGCTCGTCTTGTTGCAAAGGGAAATGAACAAGAGGCAGGGATTGATTTTTTAGAAACTTACAGTCCAGTTGTGAGGACTGCAACAGTGAGAATGGTGTTGCACTTTGTTGTGGTTGAAAGATGGGATATAAAACAGCTTGATGTAAAGAACGCTTTTCTACATGGAGACTTAAATGAAGTGGTGTACATGAAGCAGCCACCGGGTTTTGAAGATAAAGAACACCCGGAGTATGTTTGCAAATTGAAGAAAGCAATCTACGGCCTAAAGCAGGCTCCTAGAGCTTGGTTCGACAAATTCAGTTCATATTTGATTGAATTTGGCTTCCTTTGCAGTACAGATGATCCATCTCTCTTTGTCTACCAAAAGGGAAACATTATTCTTCTGTTGCTTCTATATGTGGATGACATGATTCTTACAGGTAATGACAAGTCTCTGGTTCAAAGACTGTTGCAGTCACTTAATGAAAAGTTTCGGATGAAGGATATGGGAGCTATGAGCTATTTTCTGGGCATTCAAGCTACATATACTCCTACTGGTATGTTTCTAAATCAAGAAAAATATGCTACAGATTTGCTGAAGGTTGCAGGCATGTTAGATTGTTCCCCGATGCCTACTCCATTGCCGTTACAACTTAACAAGGTGCCTCATCAAGATGAGCTCTTCTCAGATCCAACTTATTTTAGAAGTCTCGCAGGTAAACTGCAGTATCTGACACTTACAAGACCAGATGTGCAATTTGCAGTCAATTTTGTGTGTCAGAAAATGCACAAGCCTATGTTATCAGATTTTCATTTACTAAAGAGAATTCTGAGGTACATCAAAGGCACATTGAAGATGGGAGTTTCATTGACTTCAGATACAGACTCAACAGTTAGAGCATATTGTGACAGCAGTTGGTCAGACTGTCAAGAAACTTTGCGTTCTACAGGAGGTTTTTGTACATTTTTGGGATCAAACATCATTTCTTGGTCAGCCAAAAGACAAGAATCAGTTTCTCGCTCTTCTACTGAAGCAGAATACAGAACACTCTCTGATACTGCAGCTGAATTGACTTGGATCTCTTCTATCCTCAAGCAAGTTTTTTCTCTCTGAGGTTCAAACTCGGTGTGGATTATCCACCCACCTCGAGTTTGCAGGGGGGTATTAAGGTGAGCTCTTCTCAGCCCAGTAAGGCCCAAAAGCGAAATGAGAATGAAGCAGTGGGCCGCCAACAGATTCAGCCCATGAAGCAGACAAATGCTTCAACGGTCAAAAGCAGAACACAGGATGTACGTGAGAGAGGTACGGAAATGCAGCCACAACAAATCCCGCTAAAGAACAGTTTTGATGCGCTCCTATCCATTGAGCAATGAGGTGTCACTGCCACCTGTCTAGTCTCTAGATTGTTCTTGTCAGTGTATAAATATCCCTTTTGTATTCATGACCTAATGAGGTATCAAAGTATGAAGCTTTAAGCCGCTCTCTATAAACTTCAAAATTATTTTACTCTAAGTTTGATCTTTATTTACAGGGGGATGATATGATGCAGGCGGGAACACATTTCTACCATGGACACTACGGAATGCAGAGATCAGCGGGACTATACGGAATGTTGATAGTAAGATCACCGAAAGAGAGAGAGAATAATTTACGATGGAGAGTTCAATCTCTTGCTCAGTGACTGGTGGCACCAAAGCATTCACTCGCAAGAACTCGCTCTTTCTTCTCGCCCTATGCGTTGGATCGGCGAACCTCAAAGCCTATTGATTAATGGAAGAGGACAGTTTAATTGTTCACAAGCAGCGTATTTTAACAAAGGAGGGGAAAAAGATGTGTGCACCTTTAAGGAAAATGATCAGTGTGCACCTCAAACTCTACGGGTCGAGCCCAATAGAGTTTACCGTCTTCGAATCGCTAGCACCACTGCTCTTGCTTCCCTCAACTTGGCCGTTCAAGTAAGTTTCTCTCTTTCCAATTTATTACTACAGTACTAATTATCATGTTTCTGATTAATTATATTATGGTTCGATTCTATATCAATATGTTTGGTTCAAGAACTATTCCACATTGAAATGGAATCTAATATTAAATTGATCCTGGTTTTATTCGTTTGATTAAATGAATGTTATCATTCTTTTGAATCAAATAAATGGATTAACTTTAGAGAACTTTAACTTCACTATTTCTTTCCCTATCGTTTTTTAAATTACTAGATTTTAACCCGCGGTACACCGCGGGATGATTTAATTTTAAAGTTAGTATAAAAATATTTTGTAAATTGTATCTCTTTATAACATATTTATTTATATTATAGTTTACAATTGTTATTAAGTAACGGTATACCACGAGTCCACGAGATAATTATTAATAAACTGAGGATTTAACCCGTATTAAAGCGGTATATAAATATTGATTCAAATTCGTCAGCCATATAAATCATTTCCGAAATATAACCCGTTCCCAAATTTCTTAACCCGTCCTGTGATTTGTATTAAAAAAATAAGGATTAAATCCGTATTGAAGCGGCGGATTAATGATATTTTAATCTTTTTATTATTGTTGATTCAAAAACCCGTCTCGCCAAACCCATCCCCCCAAAAAACTCATTTATTTTATTAATGTTCTTATTTATGATATGATTCTGAATCATTGTCTAAATATTTTAATCGATGTAGAACGTTGAACACACATTTTCGTCAATTGGATAATATATGTCCGTTTTTAAAATTTCGAATCACAGTATATGCTGAAAAAAATTGATTTTTTTTTTACTTTATGTATTATATGATAATTCAAAACAGTTAAAAACAAATCAAACAAAGATGATAGGAGAATCATAATTATAAATCTTAATCAAATCTTCTAAAAATCTAAATTATTAAATATGGAATATCCGGTGTATGAATTGAGTTAAATATAACCCGACCCAACAAATTTTTTGTGAAGGAATTTTTAAAATGGGTCGGATATCTAATATACCCGAAAGCTTTTTTACCCACCCGTCACAAAAAGTGCTGCGATTATACTAGTATAGTAGTATGGAAAAACGGTCTATTTCCCCCCGATAACTATCGCATCATAACAGATGCAGCCCAAACTTTAACCCCGGTTCTAATGTCCCTGAAATGTACCTTTGAGGCCTAATTCCCCCCGAATTGGAAGTTCACCATCTAAATGTCTCCATGTCTGGGTTTCGTCGGTTTGGTGCGTTGACCCGAGACCAAACCAGATTTTGGTCGTAACTTAACCAAAAAAAAACCGATTCCATATTTTTACCCGACCCACTAATGCTGTTAAACCCCAAAATCAAAATCCCCAAATTCGAAATCGTTTTTCCACAATTGAAGAACCCTAGATTCTAAAATTTTGATTAACCCAGAAATCGAGTTGCTGCAAGATGAGCAATATGTCAATGAGTTCGTCAGGATCTACAGGTCCTCGTGGAAGAGGCAGAATCGTCGGGGTGCCAAAGAGATGTTGGTGCGGGGAAGAAATTGTGGCACTAAATTCAAAATCCGATTCCAATCCTTGCCGGAGATACTATCGTTGTGGTGTTGCTGCTAAACTTAGGGTAATTTCATGCTTGTTTCAATTGTTTTGTATTGTATCTTGTTTAAGATTCTCTTAATGGACCAATGACATGTTAAATTGTAGCTAAGGAACGATGAACACACGTTCAAATGGGTTGATGAAGCCTTGCTCAATGAGATAGATGCATTGAAAGAAAAGAATGTTGAACTTGAGAAGGAGGTTACAAAGCTTAAGACAGAGAGTTTGGAGATTGAGAAGATCGTTTGCGAGAAGGTCGAAATGATGATAGAGAAGGAGATATTTGAGAAGGTGGAAGATGCTTTGTCTGAAGCCAAAGGAAGCACTAAGAAGATGATGATTGTCGTTGTGATAGGGTGTATGATCATGATTGGAATCATCAAATTAGTCGGATGAACCATTGATCACTTCATTGTAGTTGTTGTGTTGGTTGAATGTTTGTGTTTTGGTTCTAGCTTTAGATTTATGATTAAGCTAATGGAGTTTGTAGTTTGGATTTATGATCAAGACATTATGTAATAAGAGAATGGTTTTTGTTTTGTATCAAGAGAATGGTGGTTGTCTTGTATTAAGAGAATTGGTTGGTTTGGATAAAGAGAATGGCTTTGGTCATTCTGTGTTTTTACGAATTGGTCATAACAGAGAACAAAACAATCAAATTCAAGTTAAGAGAAACCAACATTCTTTAAAACATTCATTCTACATCCATCCGAAGAGACATTAATTCAAAAGACCTAGAAACATTCAAAAGGTTTAGAAAACAGAGGGATACACAAGTCATATGTGATCGAAAATTAGATAGAGACAACCACATTTGTGCCCTACATCTACTTAGCTACTACTCCACTAAGCTTGAGTGAGTGACCCTTGACTTGGTTCAGCTTGAGAAGAGTGGAAAACATCTTGAGAACCCTGAAACACAAGATCACAGAAGAGTGGACACAAAACAAAACAAAACAAAACAAAACAAAACAAAACAAACCTTATCTTTCTTGTGATGCCTAGCATTGTGATCAGCTGTCCCACAGACACGACAATGCATGATCCTTTTCTTGTTCTTTGGTGCCTTCTTAGTAGGAGACTCATTGACACCCTTCTTCCTCTTCTTATCCTTCTTTGTCATCTCCTTATCCTTCTCTCCTTCTGGTGGCTGTGGTATATGCACAGGAGGAGCATTAGTCTCAGGCCAAAACTTAGGACCTCTCTGTGGACACACACCATCAGTGTAGTTTTTTTTCCAAGTAGATGTCCTGAACCAGTGACACACGTAGTCCTCTGGTGCAAGCCATTCACATCGTACTCCTTCACATCGTACTCCTTCCTCCTTACCATCGTTACCAACACATTTGAAGCCAATTTTATCATTGTCATACCTGTACTGCTTCAGATTGCATCCTGTCCTAAGAGCATAATCAACCACAGCTTCCTTGAACGCAACTCCACTGAAGAAAGTTTGCTTATGGTACAAATGACCATCGCCTCGCCTGATATGAGTATGAACTCTCTCAGGACCATCGCCATTCTCTTCAGCATCGCTCTCTGGGTACACATCATGGCGAATCGGAGGTTCGTCATTCCACTCATTCAACATTTCTTCGACGTGAAATTGGTCTCTGTCTTCAGCTTCAGGATCGACATCACCAATATCGGGGTCACAAACAACTACAGACATCCTTCGATTGCAGAGATTGGAAGCTTCGATCACTCAAATTTTCTCTCTAGGGTTCGTCGGAAATATTTGGGGATTTTTTTGATATCTGATTTTAGGGTTTGCGTTTGGGGTTAAATCGGGGTGGGTGGGTTTTGGTTAGGTTAGTGAAATCGGGTTGAATTCGGGTACATTAGGGTTTACTCTGGTTAATAAAACATTTAATCGGTTTAGCATTGGGTTTTCAATACAATAAACCGATTAAACCCAGATTCGTGTGGTTCTAACTCTCGAACATTTGATTCGGAGAGAAATAAGAAGTGAACTTCCGTTTCGGGGGGAACTAGGCCTCAAAGGTACATTTCAGGGACATTAGAACCGGGGTTAAAGTTTGGGCTGCATCTGTTATGATGCGATAGTTATCGGGGGGAAATAGACCGTTTTTCCTAGTAGTATAGATGGGTAAAATGTGACTAGATTCATTTACACATGCGATAAATGCAAAGACCAAGTACATTGAATAGACATATCTAAAGGATATCCAAAACCGCCGGAGAAATCACACGACCAGCTTATCCTCCTCAACACACAGAATCTCTACGACGATTACACGAAATGGTCAATCAACAACGTCTCATTGTCCTTACCGGTGACGCCATATCTCGGATCTATCAAATACGGTTTAAAATCGGCGTACGATTTAAAATCTCCGCCGAAGAAATTCACAGTTGATAATTACGATATCATGAAACCGCCGCCGAATCCAAACACCACGAAAGGTAGCGGAATCTACAATTTCCCGTTTGGAATCGTCGTCGACGTGATTCTTCAAAACGCAAACGTTTTAAAAGGTGTGATTAGTGAGATTCATCCATGGCATATTCACGGTCATGATTTCTGGGTTTTGGGTTACGGTGATGGGAAATTTAAACCGGGAATTGATGAGAAGACGTTTAATTTGAAGAACCCGCCGTTACGGAATACGGTGGTTTTGTATCCGTATGGATGGACGGCGTTAAGATTTGTAACGGATAATCCTGGGGTTTGGTTTTTTCATTGTCACATTGAACCGCATTTGCATGTGGGTATGGGTGTGGTTTTCGCTGAAGGAGTAGACCGGATTGGTAAGATGGAGATACCGGATGAGGCGCTTGGTTGTGGATTAACCAGGAAATGGCTTATGAACCGGGGACTCCCTTAAATAAACCGACGTTATTATGTTTGATATGTGTGTGTTTAGTTTTCTTCGTTGGGTTATTAAACTTTTGGGGGACAAAAATAAGGATGTTTTAATTCATAAGATCAGAGAAAATATGTTAATTCTCTTGTTGGGGTGGACTCTACTTAGGACCTCTCAATTGTATGATTTATTAAAATAATTTATAGTGGATCTTAAATATCTTACTTGGTTACGCATGGCATGCATATTAATTAAGATGGTACGTATATATGAACTTTTTGTGACTTAGTCCAATTCATATATATCACCATCTCGCATTAAATAGTAGCACACAAAATACTTGCATAGGATTTGATATCAGCAATGTTTTTTAGTTTTTGTTGTGGTAACGTACAAAGATAGGTTTTCACGTTGAGATGTTGACTAAACAAACAAGACAAATTGCATTTCGTAACAAGTAAAGAACCCTTTTTTTTTTAGACAACTTTGTTTTGTTTTTTTGGGTAGGAGGGCAGTGTTAAGTTAAAACACGTGCTCAATAGTAAAAGTTATGTTACAATTTTAGATTAGCTTACTAAAGACATCATCAATGGGGAATCATGTGAGGGTGTTCTTAGAGAAAATATAATGTTAAAATAATGTAAGATCATGTGTTTAGATATTTTGTTTAGAAGTTGATTAGTGGGAGAACATGTGTAAGATCTTAAGATTTAATAATATAATTTTAAAACATATTACAATTATTAAAACATTTAAAAATAACATATAAATTGCAAACTTTAAAAACTGAAAATAAAAGTGAAGAGAAGAGAAGAGAAGAGAAGAGAAGAGATGAGAGAGAGAAGAGAAGAAAACGCACCCCAAATATTCCAACCAATGCCCAAATGCCACGTCACCCCGCAACACCCACAAGAACAGATCCAGATCTAGAGCCCAGTTCCTGATCTTAAGCCCATTAGCCCATTTTTTTGGATTAAAATATTGCTTAGATCAGGGGGTGATCCACCGATGTAAATGGCCTAAGAGCTTGTGGATGATATGAATTCTACAATTTCTACAGCTTCAAAAAGGTTTTATTCTTTACAACAAGTCTATAACCACTTTTAAGAGTTTGTGGCTTCTATTGAGAAACATGTGCTCAATATCTCCAACAATTAGTTACTCACTATGGGGAGAATTTTAGAAGAAAAAAAATACATGGATAAAAAGATTTGAAATTCAAGAAACTTTTATTAAAACTGCAAATGGTTGTTCAATTTTAAAGAATAAAATATAGTGGAATTACTAATTATAAAATTTCACAATTTTGAAGTGAAACAGAATGAAAATAAAAAGAAAAAAAAACGATTATGCTTGGGAAAATAAAACATAATTTCTTTTTTTAATTATTTCTTTTGAATTGAACTGCAGCAATTTTTATCAGTGAAAGACACTTAATTTCTTTCTTTTTGTTCAGAAATAATTACATCAAAGAAAATTCATAGCTAATCATTTTTTTGTGAAAGATTCATTTCTCGTTTGTGCCAAAACATTTTAAAAAATTGCTCGTTTAATATTTGAAATGATTTCAGTCAGCCACATCTTCGTTAGTTACTCCAGTGTCCTCTATATAATGGCCCCATCGATCTTGTCCTCGTCTTTCTTTTTAGTTTATAATTTATAACTTCAACTAATAACATCCACACAAAAATAGAATTGCTCTTAGAACACAAAAAACAAACCAAATAATAAACTGCTTTCTTTATATTTATAAAAGCCTCTTTCCTATACTGACATAAGCAAGCTATTCTATAATTCACACAAAAGAAATAAAATAAAATAAACCATGGCTGTACCGGTAATTATGTGGTGGCTACTAATGGTGGTCGTGGTGGTTCAATCAGAGTACTCCCCCTCAGTAATTCAATTAAAGTGGGAGGTTGAGTATAAGTTCTGGTGGCCGGATTGTAAGGAAGGCATTGTTATGGCCATCAATGGCCAGTTTCCGGGGCCGACTATCGAAGCGGTCGCCGGAGACAACGTCAACATCCACGTCATTAACAAACTCTCCACTGAAGGTGTTGTCATTCATTGGCATGGCATACATCAGGTTGTTAAATTACTCTAGTTTTCTTCCATCATATAATAAAGTATACGGATGTAATGTGACAAGAAAACTTAACAAAAGCAAAAAGTGCAACAAGAAGCTTATTCTATACAATATACATTTATATGTTTGGGTCTCATTGCTAATTTGCTAATATGTAGAATTGCGCGACATAAGAGCATCTCCAACAGAGAGAAACCATCAAAGTTTCTCAAATATAGTAATTTAATGTTTTTGTAATAAATGAATTATTTATTTAAATTTTAATTACTTAAAAAAAATTTTAACCAATCAAATTATGCCAAGTATTAGACAGTGTCTCACAGTTTCTCAAATGAGACATATTGTCTCATACTCTTTCTTACTTTTCTTTATTTTTTACTCCTTTCGTTCCTGAAAGTTTGATGTTCTAGTGTTTTAGGTTTATTCCACAAAGATTGATTTTCTAACTTTTTATTTTATTTTTTATTAATTGATATTAACAAATTGTAGATTTCAAGGCGTAATGATTACAAATAATTAACTGTTTTAGATTATTATTGGTTCATACATTATTAAAAATATTTAATAAAATGAAAAATTATTAAATGATTAAATCATGATTGTTTCGTAATATATGTGTAAATTCTAAAACATCAAATTTTCAAGAACAAAGGGAGTATTTTTTTAATTCATTAGATATTGGATGAGACACCATGTTGGAAGTGCTCTAATAATCTGTTATTGTGGAATAAAGTAGTACTAACCCGTAGTCCGGTCCGTAGAATGACGCGACTCCGCATGTTTTTATTTATCAACCATATTTGTAATTAACTTAATCGCTTTTTTTGTGTAATATACTGCCTAATCCCACAAATCAATTAAATACATAAATGTGAAACGGCTTTTCCGCAAATTTCCAATTCCATTAAGCGTTTTTTTTTTTTTGATAGTGGATAGGGGACAATGTCCTCTACAATTTATTCATAACGGAAAATAAAACTAAACTCGGACAATTTGGTTTATATTCAGCAATTTAAGATGTTACCAAATGAGAACCATTAGTTAGTACTAAAGAGTATTTACAAAAAAGAATTAACAAAAAAATATGTTTTGTGATTATGGAGCAGAACGGGACAGCATGGGCAGATGGAGCAGCGGGTGTGACGCAATGTCCTATAAACCCTGGCGAAACTTTCACTTACAGTTTCATTGTTGATAAGGTAAATCTTTAGTTACTTCTTTTTGTAACATTTACAAGGTACATAAACGATGAATGTTTTGGGTGGGGAATGACATGGTGCAGCCAGGAACATATTTCTACCATGGACACTATGGGATGCAGAGATCGGCGGGACTGTACGGAATGTTGATAGTGAAATCACCGGAAGAGACATTAAAATACGATGGAGAGTTTAATTTGTTGCTTAGCGACTGGTGGCATAAAAGCATTCACGCGCAAGAACTCGCTCTTTCTTCTCAACCAATGCGTTGGATCGGAGAACCTAAGAGCTTGTTGATCAACGGAAAAGGACAGTTTAATTGTTCACAAGCAGCACATCTTACCAAAAAAGATGATCAATGCACGTTTAAAGGGAAAGACGAAGATCAGTGCGCATCTCACACTCTACGGGTCGAGCCTAATAGAGTTTACCGTCTTCGAATCGCTAGCACCACTGCTCTTGCTTCCCTCAACTTGGCCGTTCAAGTAAGTTTCTCTCTTTCCATTTTATTTGTTTAAATTTTGTAACAACTTTTTTTCTATAAAATGATCTTGAAATGAATTGTTAGAAAACACCTATAGTAATTAAATTGAGAAATTTATAGAACTTAACATAAAACCGAACGAATCAACATGTAAATGATAAAACCGAGTCAATCCAATTATGGCTCGATTATATGTTTGGATTACTTTTGGATTGGATCGAAATTCGATCATCGAATGGATGTTTATCTTTGATTTGAAACATTTTCAGAGAAATTTGAAGTTCACTTTGTTTCTTTTTGAATAAAATGATGTATTTCCTCTGTTTTGAAATAATCGAAATTCTATAGAACAAACAATTATTTTAATTTGAAAAACGATTTCTTTCGTGATACATAAGGTCACACGTGTGGTTGGTTGATTGTGCACGTGCAGGAACACGAGCTTGAAGTTGTTGAAGCCGACGGCAATTACGTCAAACCGTTCAACGTCAGCGACATTGACATTTATTCCGGCGAGACCTATTCCGTTCTTCTCAGAACCAACGGATCTATTTCCAAGAAGTACTGGATCTCCGTCGGCGTTCGTGGCCGGAAACCTGAAACTCCTCCGGCACTCACCATGTTAAATTACGTCAATGCCCCTGAAGCTGATCGCCCAGCTAAACATCCACCGGAGACTCCACGGTGGGACGATTTCGATCGGAGCATAACTTTCACGAAGAAGATCTTCGCAGCGGAGGGAACTCTATCGCCGCCGGAGAATGTTGGATAATCTTCAAAAGGCTTAAGGCCCAAGATGACTTTAATGAGGAGGTTAAAGTTTAAGATAGGTCTAGAATGTTCTAATTAGGTTTGGAGTTATATTTTCCTAATTGTAATATGATTAGCAAAGTTGTGCTATCTATAAATAAGGCTCTAGGGTTGAGTTGTAACCTCATGAGTTTAGAGAAAGCTTGTTTAGTTTTAAGAGAGTTTCTAAACAATCAATAAAGAGAGTTATACTTTGTTGAATTCCTTTTGTTCTCAGCTTTCTAGTTTCTCTTTATTTGGTATCAGAGCGGTTTAACGATCGCCTTGTGAAACACGGATTCAACAAAGCCGAGTGATGGCAGATGTTGATCCCGTGCCGCGCCAAAAGAAGGTAGCGAAGACCGTCATCCAATGTCCTATGCTAAACGATACAAACTACACGGTATGGGCTATGAGGATGAAGGTCTTGTTACGCATAAACAAGGTTTGGGACACCATAGATCCTGGTTCAACGGATGGAGAGAAGAATGATGTTGCTATCGGGTTATTGTTCCAATCCATCACGGAAGCCCTAATCTTGCAAATTGGTGAAACCGACTCTCCAAAAAGTATATGGGAGTCAATCAAGTCTAAGAATCAAGGAGCTGAAAGAGTTAAGGAAGCTAGACTTCAAACCCTAATGGCTGAGTTTGAAAGGATGGTGATGAAAGACTCGGAATCAATCGATACCTTTGCGGGAAGGTTAGCGGAGGTGGCGTCTCAATCCGCAGCCCTAGGTCATACGATTGATAAGCCAAAACTTGTTAAGAAATTTCTTAACAGCTTACCACAATCAAAATATATTCAAATCATAGCTTCATTGGAACAAGTCTTGGACTTAAACAATACTAGCTTTGAAGACATAGTAGGACGATTAAAGGTATACGAGTCACGTATACGTGGTGTAGAAAGTAACATTGATACACAAGGAAACCTATTATTTACAAGCACGGATTCGCGTGGGTACCAAGGAAGCTTTGAGAATTCCCGAGGAAGAGGGAGAGGTCGTGGTAGAGGAAGAAGTAATCGGGGTAGAGGCCGTGGAGGTTTCAACACACAAGATCAACAAAAGGAGAAGAAAGATCGATCTAATGTTGTATGCTTCCGATGTGATAAGGCAGGTCACTTTGCTTCGGTTTGCCCTGAAAGGAAACAAAAACTACAAGAGGCTAACAAGGTAGAGACACAAGAGGCGGATGCAGCTCTCTACATGCATGAGATAGTATTCCTTAATGAAGAAAATTTGATTCCTAAGAAGTATGAATCGGATAAAGGAGAAGAAGGAATATGGTACTTAGATAATGGAGCTAGCAATCACATGACCGGAGTAAAGACTTACTTCTCGGAGTTGAATGAAAACGTCAAAGGCAAGGTAAGATTTGGAGATGGATCGTGTGTTAACATTGATGGAAAAGGATCAATTCTGTTTCAAGGAAAAACAGGGGAGCAACAACTTTTAACCGAGATTTACTACATCCCCGGGTTAAAGAGCAATATCCTAAGTCTAGGACAAGCCACCGAGTATGGTTGTGATGTTAGGATGCGTCAAAATTACCTAACATTACATGACCCGAATGGACGTCTCTTGGTAAAAGTTGAAAGATCTCCAAATAGGCTCTACAAGATCAATCTCAAAATTGGTAAGCCTATTTGTCTACATTCAAGAATCGAAGAAGATACATGGAGATGGCACGCAAGACTTGGTCATGTAAGCTTTAAAACCATTGAATCGATGTCAACAAACGAGATGGTCTATGGTCTACCAAAGCTAAGTAGTGAAAAACGAATTTGCGAGTCATGTTTGGTGGGAAAACAAACTCGTCAAGCCTTTCCTAAAGCATCACAATTTCGGGCTTCAAGTGTGTTGGAGTTACTACATGCGGATTTGTGTGGACCAATCACACCCGCTACTCTTGCTAGGAACAAGTATATCTTTGTGATCATTGATGATTTTTCAAGATATATGTGGACAATTTTGCTAAGAGAGAAAAGTGAAGCATTTGAGAAGTTCAAGATGTTTAAAGCTCTTGTCGAGAAAGAACTTGGAAAGACCATCTTTACTTTACGGACGGATAGAGGTGGTGAGTTTACTTCAAGAGACTTTCAAGAATTTTGTGATAAGAATGGGATAAAGAGACACTTGACGGCTCCTTATACACCGCAACAAAACGGCGTAGTTGAGAGAAGAAACCGTACATTGATGGAGATGACAAGAAGCATTTTAAAAGCAATGCAAGTGCCAAACTACCTTTGGGGAGAAGCCATACGTCATTCTACTTACCTAATCAACCGGATACCTACGAAAGCTTTGAAAAATCAGACTCCATACGAATGCTTGAAGGACAAGAAACCAAGTGTAGATCATCTTAGAGTATTCGGCTGCCTTGCTCATGCAAAAATTGAATCCGAGCACTTAAAGAAGTTAGATGATCGATCTCAAACTTTGGTGAACCTTGGGATCGAGCCGGGATCCAAGGCATATAGGCTTTACAATCCAACAACTAGGAGAATTGTTGTGAGCCGCGATGTGGCTTTCAATGAGAAGTCATGTTGGAATTGGAAGGGAGACGACAAAGAAACTACAAGGAGTCCGGGAATGTTTCAAATGATTTGGGGAGATGTGATGGATGAAGGTCATGGACCGTTTATCGGGACTCAACAAGAAAATGTGGATAATCCCGAAAACGAAAACCAAGACACACATCAAGAAGATCAAGGTGATGATAATGATGAAGAACCACAAGAAGACACAAATGATCAAGCTCAAGAAAATCAAGAAGTTGTAGATCCACCGCAACTAAGAAGATCGGGTCGCCAAGTGAACACGCCTAGATATCTTGAAGACTATGCCCTTCTAGCTGACATTGAGTGTGAGAAATTACTCTTGTCAATGAATGACGAGCCAACATGTTATCAAGAAGCTAAAGAACTTGCGGTATGGACTAATGCATGTCTTGAGGAGATTGATTCAATTGACAAGAACAAGACGTGGTCTCTAGTTACTAAACCTATTGGAGTTAAGGTAATTGGTCTTAAATGGGTGTTCAAGATAAAAAGGAACGCGGATGGATCAATTAACAAGTACAAAGCTAGGCTAGTCGCTAAGGGATACGTTCAAAAATCCGGGATTGATTTTGATGAGGTTTTCGCGCCGGTGGCTCGGCTTGAAACAATACGGTTACTAATTGGTCTAGCTGCTTCTTATGGATGGGAGATTCATCATCTTGACGTCAAGACGGCATTCTTACATGGAGAACTCAATGAGGAAGTTTACGTGTCTCAACCCGATGGATTTGAAAAGAAGGGAGAAGAGCATAAGGTTTTCAAGCTCCATAAGGCTTTATACGGTTTGAGACAAGCTCCACGAGCATGGAATACGAAGCTTGATCAAATCTTGAAAGGAATGAAGTTCAAGAAGTGTTCTAAGGAAAGCTCCGTGTATCGCAAGGAAGAAGGAGAAAATCTTCTTATTATTGCCGTATATGTTGACGATCTCTTTGTCACAGGAACAACAATGAAGATCATCAAAGATTTCAAGTCCGGAATGTCTACAAAGTTTGAAATGTCTGACCTTGGTAAGCTTACTTACTACCTTGGGATAGAAGTTAACCAAAGCAAAGACGGGATTGAGATAAAACAAGAAGCCTATGCACGAAGGATTCTCAAGGAAGCGCTCTTAGATACTTGTAATCCTGCTCACATACCTATGGAGTTTGGTTTAAAGCTATCTAAGGGACAAGACGAAGAACCCGAAGTTGATGCTACCTTGTATCGAAGAAGGATTGGTTGTCTAAGGTATCTTTTGCATACAAGACCCGACCTTGCTTTCTCAGTTGGAGTAACAAGTAGGTATATGCAAGACCCAAGAGAATCACACGGAGGAGCCTTAAAGCAAATCTTAAGGTATCTACAAGGAACAACGGCTTACGGTTTAGTTTTCAAGAAAGGAGGATCAAAGAAGCTACTTGGATTCAGTGACAGCTCACATAATTGTGATCAAGATGATGGAAGAAGTACAACTGGACATGTCTTCTACTTTGGTGAATCACCGATCACATGGTGCTCTCAAAAACAACCAGTAGTAGCATTGTCCTCTTGTGAAGCCGAGTTTATGGCTGCAACGGAAGCTGCGAAGCAAGCGATATGGCTCCAAGACTTGTTAAGTGAGATCACGGGTAAAGAAGGAGAGAAGACTACCATTCTTATTGACAACAAGTCAGCCATTGAGCTTACTAAGAACCCCGTCTTCCATGGGAGAAGCAAACACATCCACAAGCGTTACCACTTCATTCGAGAATGCGTTGAAGATAGGCAACTTGAAGTGGAGTTTGTACCCGGAGAAGAGCAACGTGCGGATATACTAACAAAGGCCCTAGCAAGAATCAAGTTTAAGGAAATGAGGAGTATGATTGGAGTTCAAGACCTCTCAAAGACTAGCTTGAAGCTTAAGGGGGTGAATGTTGGATAATCTTCAAAAGGCTTAAGGCCCAAGATGACTTTAATGAGGAGGTTAAAGTTTAAGATAGGTCTAGAATGTTCTAATTAGGTTTGGAGTTATATTTTCCTAATTGTAATATGATTAGCAAAGTTGTGCTATCTATAAATAAGGCTCTAGAGTTGAGTTGTAACCTCATGAGTTTAGAGAAAGCTTGTTTAGTTTTAAGAGAGTTTCTAAACAATCAATAAAGAGAGTTATACTTTGTTGAATTCCTTTTGTTCTAAGCTTTCTAGTTTCTCTTTAGAGAAATCAGAAATCCAGCTCATCCTCCTCAACACGCAGAATCTGCTCGACAATTACACAAAATGGTCAATCAACAACGTCTCCTTGTCCGTGCCGGTGACGCCGTATCTCGGATCTATCAAATACGGTTTAAAATCGGCGGAGCATTTGAAATCGTCGGAAAAGAAGTTCGCAATGGATAATTACGACATTATGAAACCGCCGGCGAATCCCAACACCACGAAAGGTAGCGGGATTTACAGTTTCACGTCAGGTAAAGTCGTCGACGTGATTCTCCAGAACGCGAACGTCTTGACGGAGAAAGTCAGTGAGATTCATCCATGGCATCTTCACGGTCACGATTTCTGGGTTTTGGGTTACGGTGATGGGAAATTTAAACCGGGAATTGATGAGAAGACGTTTAATTTGAAGAATCCGCCGTTACGGAACACGGTCGTTTTGTATCCGTATGGATGGACGGCGTTAAGGTTTGTAACGGATA